TGGCTTTGATGATATAAACGCCATGGGCAACAGGATATGATGTCACACTCTGTTTTGTCAGCAGAAGCCCTCTGACAGGGAACTACACTAACATTTTCCACTGGTGGCACTTGCGCTACTAACTTTTTCAGTTACTAGCGCAAAACATGATTTGGTCGCACAAATTATTTATATAGTAAGCCGCTCTGGATAATAATGACCAATAGTGAAACTGTATTGCATACAGATGTGCTTTTTATTTTACTCTCCATCTTTTAAAACACATGCCTTCTTGTTTTCTTTAAAAATGGTTGGGATAGATTTACTGCAATAGAAAATACAGTAGCCTACACAATAAAGTGCTAAATTAATTTCTTTTGGATTTCACCATGCTATGGTTGGCACAGATGGGCAGACTTCTGAACTCTTAAGGAAAAGTAAAATAAATATAATATGTCATTGTGAAGCTTCAATGATTCGTGTTTGAATTGTTTTGACGCAGTTACAAATTTGGACAGTCCTGCAATTGAAGGCCCACAGAATTTACAGTAGGGCTGCACGATATTGGTAAAATTTTAAAAAAAAAATTTTTTACATTGCGATATTTGATTTTTCTGCGATATATATTGCGATATAAAAACAATTTCACCAGATGACTTGAATAGCTCTACTTGGAAAGAATGAATCATTCTAGAATGACTCTTGAGTTCAGTGTTGGACAGATCAGGGCCAGTATGTATAAAACTTCTAAGAAATGATCTTAAGAATAGTCTTAAGCTTTGACTTAAGTGTAAAAAAATACTTTGTAATAGTAGGACTTTTCTAAGAGTAGGAGACTTTTATAAAGCAGCTAAAAGCAACTTTCAGTAAAGTATAAGACTGATTCTTAAGTGCTGACTGAAGTGGGACTTAAGTGCTGCAAACTAAGGACTACAATGATGTCAACGCAAAATGGCCGCCCTCACCCTCTGAATCAGCCAATAGTGAGCCTGCAAGGGTGAGGTCACAGCAGCATGACACCAATTATTTAATGTAATTATAATAAAATAATTTAATTAAGACACTGAAACTTTAATGTTTAAATGTATTTTTTTAAATGGCTTTGCATTGTGCAAAATGATCACAAATTAGTATTGAAGGAAAATTGTCAGATTCACCCTTTATTCAAATAGTATTAAAAATGTGTTTAATATTTTGTAAGCGTATTGTGTAGTTGTGCCTGGAGTCAATTGTTTATTTGTGATAACACAATGAAACATTCCAAATTGACATAATTTTTAGCCAAGCTGTCATACAAATAAATTATGAACAGGTGAAAAAACAAGAGATGAAAATCAAATATTAATAAATGATTATGTTGCAGACAATATATGATTTTTTTCTCCTGTGAGCTTTTTAATTGTAATATCTTTATTGTCCACCAAGGTGGAAAATTGTCTTTAGCTCACCAGCCATTAAAATAAATATACAGACCATAATAGAAGACAAAGACATAAAACAGACAGATCACAATTCATAAAAAATAAATACGTAATAATCACATTTCATACTATAGTCATTTGGATTATCATTTACTTGCCGAGTTGAGAATTTTAACAGCATTTGGAATAAAAGACCTCTTAAACATATTTTTTCTGTAGCATTCTACCCGATTTCATGGGCTCAAATTGACTGAAGAGAGGATGAGAACTATCTGCAAGAATAGTCCTTGCCTTCTTCGCCCTTTCAGCATAGAGCTGTACTAGTGGCCTCTGTGGCAAGTTTGTTCTTAGATCTGCAATTTAAATGATCATACCAGGCTGTGAGATGAAAAGTTAGTACACTCTCTACCATGGATTTGTACACAAGTTCTAAAATATGCTGACTAACTCCAAGGCCACTAAGTTGTCTAAGAAGAAATAAATGTTGCGAACACTTTTTAAAAAGCTAGTCTGAATTATCAGCAAAATTCATGTGTGAATCAAGAATTGAATTTAAACTATTAGAATCTATTTAAACTTCTTCACAATTTCAACTTGTTGACCCACAAGTGAAATTGGCTGGATTGACATATCTGCTTTTGGGCAGATAACCTATTCTTTTGTCTTTGCCACGTTAATTTCTAGTTGGCTAAAATGACACTAATTCTCCAGGGCCTTAATGTGAGCCAGATAGGCAGCGTCATATAACAAATTAGTTTTGTCCAATAGGCCCACTAAGGCCATATCATCAGCGTATTTGAACAATCTAAAATGTTCTTCTTTAATCGTAAACTTATTAGTAAAAAGAGAGAAGAGCACATAAAGGACACAGCCTTGTGGGCAACCTGTACTTAAAGTTAGCATATCAGACACAGTCCCTCGAACACAGACCCTCTGTGTACGACAAGAAAGAAAATTTCTAATCCAGCGAACTAAACCTGTATTAACATCCAGATCAACCAGTCTTGTTAAGAGAATATGAATCTTCATTGAATTAAAAGCCGAGCTAAAATCCACGAATAAAACCCTGACATATGCTTTGGGATGCATGAGATGTTTTGTAACTGTATTAGGCAGTGTCAGTACAGCATCATCTGTACCTCTGTTACTCTTATATGCAAACTGAAGTGAATCTAACCTAGAGGCGACAGTCGAAGTTAGATGATTAGCTAAAACTCGTTCCATAGTTTTACACAATATAGAAGTTATTGCAATGGGCCGGAAGTCATTTGGCATGCTCGCCCTTGGCTTTTTTGCCACAGGCCTAATTATTGAGTACTTCCATAATTTTTGCACTTTACCTGTGTCCAAAAGTAATTGGAACAACCTTGCAAAACCTCCTTTTAGTTGAGGAGCACACTCTTTAAGAAGGCATGCTTTTAAACCATCTGGGCCAGTGGTCTTATTAGGCCTTAGTTTACAAAGGCTTGCCATGACATCGGCCTCAGTGATAACTATTGATGATTCTGCAGGGAGATTATATCTCATCACATTCAGTCTTGCCTTTCACAGTGTCAAATCTACCATAAAAGTTATTTTAAATCATTAATAAAACTTTTACTTACAGTTATCATCCTTTTTATTTGGCCTACCCATTAATCTATTTAATCCCTCCCAAGCCTGTCTTATATCACCAGTTAAGAATTTTCCCTCTCTCTTTTTTGTTTTGTTTTTCTAAAACCTGTAGCTGTAGTTTGCCCTTATTTGTCACTTAATATTTAAAAATAATATTGATCTGCCTGCATTGATACATTATATGAGAACTGAACTGAACTGGACGATGACATCACTGTTTTCACCAGAGTGGCTGTATAGATAAATGAACTAAATAGATAACTAATGATTTTTTACAATGGAAATAAAAGCTTTAGCTTAATTTCTGCCAGGAAGACTAAATTGTCACGTCACTTATTACCTTCTCATCTATCCAATCCTGGGGGTCCTTCATCTGTCCATACCTCATACCTCCCGGGGGTCGCTGCGCCCCTGCCTTCGTCTTTAAATGCGAGCTACGGACGGGACCTACGCAACAAAACTTTATAACACAATACTTGCTTGCTGGGCTGTTAATAAATGTATTTGTCACGTCATTTTGCCATATTTTCCTCATAATTTGATGGTTTAAGCAAACTTGTAGGGTCATTTTTTTTAAAAACTCCGCACATCACTTTTGGCCACCACTGTATATTTGGTGTGGTCAGTGTCACAATAGTGCTATTCTAGAGCCTATAACTGTGGACTGAAGGGCCCGAGTCATCACAGGTGCACTGCTGCATTTCTCCAGTGGCCAAAAATATAATTATTACTTTAATTTCATTGCTATGAAACTTTTTAAAGGTAAGTTACAAATAGAATACCTTGATGATTAAACTTTTTTTTTATTGTTTGATCAACTCATTTAACTACAATACATCATATTTTCGTTGAAAAGTGCATGGCCTAACCTCTCTGCTGCCATCTTGTTACTCCTAACTAGGTTAGGAGACCTCTCCAGCTCTCTTAAATAATTTAGGAGCTGAGACCAAGTCTTAGCACTTAGGAACTTTTATGAATCACACTTATTCTTACGTTTAGGAATAAGAGTAAAATTATGTAATTCTTAGAATTTTGACAGACTTGAGACTAAAATTTTACTCTGAGTGGCTTTATACATACGGGCCCAGTTGTTATTTTAACCATTCATTAAAGTGAATCGGTTCAAAGGAGTCAGTTCGCGAATCGGACGTGTCATTAACGGACCACGGCACACGTTGTGTGATTATCCAGGCAGTTTAGGACATCGCACAAGATTTGTCTCAACACAGAAAACATTTCATCACCAGATAGATTTTTTGTTTTGTTTATTGAAAGAGTGGTTTATGCCATCTGAATGTGTGGAAAGCTTTTCAGAGAAGATGAGGCAACGTTATTTTAGCACAATTCACAACCAGTGGTAGTTCAGAAAAAAAAAAAACTTCGGTCTCCCGACCTTTTACCATCGTGTATTCTCAAAGATATTCAGTCAACTCAATTCATTATTATGAGCGAGGGAGGGAGAGAGAGCGCGCGCGCGACTGGGGCTTTCACTCTCTCTGCTCGTTCTCCCTTTTGAAATGCCATTGCGACCCTAATTTTTAATGAGTCGCAAATGTATCACCGTTTGATTATTTTTGTACCTACCTAATGTTTTAGGCAATATGCTATGATTTACTATGAGCATTTATTAAAACAGAAATGTGTATTTTAAGAATACGTTTTATAACGCGCTCTGAGCATTCAACACATCAAGTTGGCTTCGCGGATTCGCGCTTGTTTAACTGAGAGAACGGGTTGCAAAAGGTCGCATATGCGACCATTTTGGTCGCAGTGTAGTTCCCTGCTCTGACCTAAAACACTTTACTTACATTCTTTATATATAATGCATTATTAATGCATTAATTATGCCTTGTAATGCACCTTATAATGCATTGTATTGTCTCACAGTTATAATACATTATAATACTTATGTTGCACCATTAGAAAGTATAATGCATTAAAACACATGACAACCAATTTCAGATGTAATAAGGAATTTGCAAATATTATAATGCATTTGAACTGTGGTTATTATTATTTATATAATGCATTAAAATGTGCATTATGAATACCGTACATCGCACTGAAGTGAATGTAGAGCAGAATTATTATAGTTACTAAAACTAAAACCAAAACCATAAAAAACTTTTGTAATTTAAAATACAATAAACTTTAACTGAGATAAAATGTATTTTTAAAAAGTTATTTTATTTAAGCTAGATTTCTCATTTTCATTTAGTTTAATTTGATGTACTAAAATAACTAAAGCTTAATTAAAAATTAAAACCATATATTGATTTTGTTTCTGTAATTTGTATTCTTTTTTAAAAATACTTATATATAGTTTTTATTTTGAACACATTTTATATATCATCTTATTCGTTGTTTTTAAATATGTCTAAAACTTTAATCAAAATGAAAATGAAAACTGAAAATATATATAATAGTCATCTGAGTTACAGTAAGATAACCCTGACGAGAGTAACGTGTATCTCTCTCTCTCTCTCTCTCTCTCTCTCTCGCTCTCTCTCTCTCTCTCTCGTGTGTCAGACGGTGTTGTGCTGATCGACCCAGAGCAGACGAAAGGAAAGAAAGGTGAGAGACACATTCACAGACAGATGGCAGTGCTGAGCTGTGTGTGAGTGAGTGTGTGTGTGTGTGTGTGTGTGTGTGTGTGTGTGTGTGTGTGTGTGTGTGTGTGTGTGTGTGCTCTTGTTTTTATTACATTGTGAGGACCAAATGTCCCCACAAGAATAGTAAAACGTGAAATCGCCTACATTGTGAGGATTAGCCAATGGTCCCCGCAAGGGAAATTGATTAATGAACATACTTAATGATGTTTTTTAGAAAATGTAAAAGAGCAGAAAGTTTTCTGTGATGGGCAGGTTTAGGGGTAGGGTGTGTGTGTGTGTGTGTGTGTGTGTGTGTGTGTGTGTGTGTGTGTGTGTGTGTGTGTGTGTGTGTGATGGGTAGGGTTAGTGTAAGGGGACAGAATATACAGTTTGTACAGTATAAAAACCATTACGCCTATGGAGAGTCCCCACAAAGATAGTGGACCAGACATGTGTGTGTGTGTGTTGAGCCTATGAAACATATGTAGATCAATTAATGTGTGTGTGTGTGTGTGTGTGTGTGTGTGTGTTTGTGTGTGTGTTGAGCCTATGAAACATATGTAGATCAATTAATGTGTGTGTGTGTGTGTGTGTGTGTGTGTGTGTGTGTGTGTGTGTGTGTGTGTGTGTGTGTGTGTGTGTGTGTGTGTGTGTGTTGAGCCTATGAAATATGTAGATTAATGAATATGTGTGTGTGTGTGTGTGTGTTGAGCCTATGAAACATATAGATTAATGAATGTGTGTTTGTGCGTGTTGAGCCTATGAAATATGTAGATGAATGAATCTGCTGTAGGTGTGTGTGTGTATGTGTGTTGAGCCTATGAAACATATAGATTAATGAATGTGTGTGTGTGTGTGTGTGTGTGTGTGTGTTGAGCCTATGAAACATATGTAGATCAATTAATGTGTGTGTGTGTGTGTGTGTGTTGAGCCTATGAAACATATAATAAATGTGTGTGTGTATGTGTGTTGAGCCTATGAAACATATAGATTAATGAATGTGTGTGTGTGTGTGTGTGTGTGTGTGTGTTGAGCCTATGAAACATATGTAGATCAATTAATGTGTGTGTGTGTGTGTGTGTGTGTGTTGAGCCTATGAAACATATGTAGATCAATTAATGTGTGTGTGTGTGTGTGTGTGTTGAGCCTATGAAACATATAATTAATGTGTGTGTGTGTGTGTGTGTTGAGCCTATGAAACACATGTAGATTAATGAATGTGTGTGTGTGTTGAGCCTATGAAACACATGTAGATTAATGAATGTGTGTGTGTGTGTTGAGCCTATGAAACACATGTCGATTGATGAATGTGTGTGTGTGTGTGTGTGTGTGTGTGTTGAGCCTATGAAACACATGTCGATTGATGAGTCTGCCGTGTGTGTGTTTATCTCCTCTAGTCTACGTCATGCTGTCCTGCACGTTCCGCTACGGTCGGGACGATATGGACGTCATGGGAATAGCGTTCCGCAGGGATATTTTCCTGTGCACACGGCAGGTCTATCCTCCTCTCCAGGACAAGGAGCGCAGCGTACACACTAAAGTGCAAGAGAAGATCCTGCGCAAGCTCGGAGACAATGCGTATCCCTTCTTCTTTGAGGTTAGAGTCCATTCTGATCGCTTTTATTCATGTATGCAAACAGCACAAGAAGACGGATGTAAACTTTTTCTTGAAAGTGCACCTATTATGCTATTTTAAAGGTTCCTAATTTGTTTTTTTTGACTCTCCTTCAATAAGTTTACATGCATCCAAGTTAAAAACATTTTAATTATCTCATAATATCCACTGCAGCTTCAGCTCTTTTCTCTCAGTGTCTGAAACGCTTCGTTTGCAGATTCAGTCTCTCTAAACCCCGCCTCTCTGAGAGCTGCTCTGCTCTGATTGGTCAGACGGCCCAGTCTGCTGTGATTGGTCAGAAAGCAAACGCTCATGATCATATGTGAGTCTCAGCTCTTGACACACAGTGATACGAACAGTGGCGATGGCGTGGGTTTTACCGTATCAATCTCATCACAGTGGATTTGCTTTGTCAGCAGAAAACAGCGTCTTCTCCACATGAACAACACGAACCGAACTCTCCCAGTCTCAGATACACTACAGTGTTTGAGGGCGGGGCTTAGAGACGCTGTTCAGCCAATCAAGACCACAGGCTGGCTTTATGCAAATTAGTTACAAACCAACGGCGGTTCAACAGGAAGTGAGACTGAATTACTGACGACTCGTTTCAAGCAGTTCAGAATCACTTCTTTCTTTTGAGAGACAAAAACTACGTTTATCTGCACTTTGACATTTGAAACTATAGATCTTTTACATTCATAAACAGCCATATTACACACTACATGACAGATCATATCTGAAAAGCAGAATAGGGGCAGTTTAAGTGGGTTTGTGTGGGTGAATATGTTGTGATTTCTCTCTCAGTTTCCAGATAACCTGCCGTGTTCTGTAGCTCTGCAGCCGGCGTCCACAGACCCAGGAAAGGTGATATTTTTACTATTAAAATATTTCAGTTTTAGGTTTAGTCGTTTTAGTACATCAAGTTGCACTAAATGAAAATGGGAAATGTTTTTTTACATTTATTTTATTTAAAGTAAAGCTAGTTATTCTGATGTTTAGAATGTTTTTTTAATACAGATCACAATTCTCCCAGGATTCTGCATAGACAACTAATTGTAATTTACTAGAGGCTCTGACAAAATGTTTATTTAATTAATTAGAATTTATTAGTATAGTCATTATTACTTTTTTTTTAATCGGTTGAATAAATGATTCAATGACTCACTCACTCATAGACTTCACACGTTTCATTACTGGATGAATCAGTGTTTTTGAACGAATCTCTTGAGTGAATGATTCAATGACAAATATATTTTTAACAGTCACTTGACGCCACCTACTGGTGTAACGATGCAATGATACAAGGAATAAGATTGCTTGAGTGTTTGAATCGAGATCACAATCTTTTAACGATTAATCGTGCAGCTTTAATTTCAAGTAATGAATGATTTTTTATGGTTTTAGTTTGTTTATCTAACCATGCTTAGAAATTTATTTGTCTAATTAATTGGAGTAAAAGTTGCGCGTGTGTGTTTGTGCAGCGCTGTGCAGTGGAGTTTGAGGTGAAGGCGTTCTGTGCAGAAAATCAAGATGAAAAAGCCCAAAAGAGGTGAGAAAAGTCACAAACGCCAGACCAACAAAAGAAAAAACTAAACCTGACCAAAAACTAAACCTGACCAATACAAGACACCTCAAGGCCAAGAGCGAGGCTTACTATTTTAACGCACTGAAATAAAAAAGAAAATGCAAAATAGTAGCCAATCAGAAGCCTTGTAGATATTGTGCTGTTTAGTGGTTGAGGCAATTATAATTTTTAATGGATTGTTGTCTTGTCTGAGACCCAGATCATTATCATGTGGTCTTGAGGGTCCTGAGAGCAAAACCACAAGATCAAGACTCCAACTCTTTGCTCTATAAACGCATCTCTCTCTCTCTCTCTCTCTCTCTCTCTCTCTCTCTCTTTCTCTCTCTCTCTCTGCAGGAGTTCGGTCCGGTTGGCCATCAGAAAGATCCAGTATGCTCCAGATAAAGGTGGCGCGGTCCCGTCGGCCGAGACCACCTGTGAATTTGTGATGTCTGATAAACCGCTGCACATGCGTGTCAGTCTGGAGAAAGAGGTGAGAAAGAGGTCCAACCATAAACATATACAGTCAAGAGGAGCAACCATGAACATATACAGTCAAGAAGTGCAACCATAAACATATACAGTCAAGAAGTGCAACCATAAACATATACAGTCAAGTGCAATCATAAACATATACAGTCAAGAAGTGCAACCATAAACATATACAGTCAAGAGGTGCAACCATAAACAGTCAAGAAGTGCAATCATAAACATATACAGTCAAGAGGAGCAACCATGAACATATACAGTCAATAAGTGCAACCATAAACATACACAGCCAAGAAGTGCAACCATAAACATATACAGTCAAGTGCAACCATAAACATATACAGTCAAGTGCAACCATAAACATATACAGTCAAGAAGTGCAACCATAAACATATAGTCAAGAGGTGCAACTATAAACATATACAGTCAAGAAGTGCAACCATAAACATATACTGCCAAGAAGTGCAACCATAAACATATACAGTTAAGAGGTGCAACCATAAACATATACAGTCAAGAAGTGCAACCATAAACATATACAGTCAAGAGGTGCAACCATAAACATATACAGTCAAGAAGTGCAACCATAAACATATACAGTCAAGAGGTGCAATCATAAACATATACAGTCAAGAAGTGCAACCATAAACATATACAGTCAAGAGGTGCAATTATAAACATATACAGTCAAGAAGTGCAACCATAAACATACACAGTCAAGAGGTGCAACTATAAACATATACAGTCAAGAGGTGCAACCAAAAACATATACAGTGAAACCAAAAATTATTCAGACACCAGATATAATTTGTGCTATTTTTTTTTTACTAGTGTGTGCAGGACACAGTGTGGAGAGCAAAATAAATAATTAAAGTAAACTGTGACATATACCCAAAGATTCTTCATACAGTGACTACCAGTAACATTTTTAAACATTTGGGACCAAAAATTATTCCGACACTTTGACCTGATCATGTTTTCTTAAGTGTTTTTTCTGTAATTGCTAATGATTGTAATTGCTAATGACACAGACTGAACAACATGAAGCATTGCTTGGTGATTGGTTGAGCTAAACTGGTATTATCTAATTGTGTAGTTAAATTTAACAGCTGACAGATATTCAACATAATTCATCTGTGAGAGTCTAACAGAAGGACGGACAAAACCAGTCAAATATCAGCTGATCTAATAACTCTGAGTTCTGCTCATATTTTACTACCATTTTCTAAACTATAGCGAATAAACTGTGATAAAGTGAGAAATGTGGAAGGTCTGAATAAATTCTGGTTTGACTGTATATAGAATGATATATAGAACAATAAATGGGGATAGATTGCTTGATTGAACAATAGAAATATATTATTGTTAATAAAGTGAGTCTTCTGTCAGTATTCGAAGGTCTGAAAAAATTCTGGTTTGACTGTATTCCATATCCAAACATCCAAAATCCATTTGAATCTGCGATTGTACGTTACAGACTTACTACCACGGAGAGATGATCAACATCAGCGTGGACATCGACAACAGTTCCAGCAGAAATGTGAAGGACGTGTCAGTCTCAGGTACATAAACACAGTGCTCACTCTAAACTGGGGCAAAAGTGTGTGTTCAGTGTGTTACAGTGTGTGTTTTCTGTTTCTCCGTATCACAGTGGAGCAGGTCACTAGTGTGGTGCTTTACTCCAATGACAAATACATCAGTCCTGTGGCCTATGATGAGACCATGTGAGTACAAACACACGTTCTTACAGTCAGTGATGTCACAGTAATGTCACATGCTCTTATGACATAATAGAACGAATGAGTTCTCTGTATTCTGAGGTGATTCAGTCACTCCGCGACTTCATAGTTTAAGCATAAAACACGCAAAACGCGGTAAAGTGGATCATTGAGCTGTTTGTTTTCATCCATATCCTCAGTATTGAATGAAATGTACTGTAAGTGTGTAGTCACGATTGACGTTTTTCTTGGCTTTGCACATCATTTTGGATGATGGAGATTTTATATTATTGTTATATTATTTATTTTTGCAATAATTAACTTTGTAAATCATAATTATCATGTCACAAAAGATTTCTATTTCAAATAAATGCTGTTCTTTTGAATTTTCTAGTCATCAAAGAATCCTGAAATTTTAAATGTATCAGTTTTCAGGGACTGTATACGAACTGTTTTCAACATTGATAATAATCAGAAATGTTTCTTGAGCAGCAAATCAGCATATTAGAATGATGAAATTTGAAAAGGGTCCGTTTGGTTCATTGAGCTTATCGCAGTGCATTCTGGGTATACTTCTCCATGAAGAATTCATTGCTACTTTTAATATAGGATTAGAAACATTTTGGAATAGATAAGCAGCTCACTAGTTCCATATGTAACATTTGGATCACTGTTACCGTGGATTACATTATGTCACCTTTATGATGTCACTGTCAGATTGGAGTCTTTATGATGTCACTGTCAGAATATATAATCTTTATGATGTCACTGTCAGATTGGAGTCTTTATGATGTCACTCTCAGATTGAAGTCTTTATGATGTCACTGTCAAAAAAGGAATCTTTATGATGTCACTGTCAAATTGGAGTCTTTATGATGTCACTGTCAGAATGGAATCTTTATGATGTCACTGTCAGATTGAAGTCTTTATGATGTCACTGTCAGAATGGAATCTTTATGATGTCACCTTCAGATTGAAGTCTTTATGATGTCACTGTCAGATTGGAATCTTCATGATGTCACTGTCAAAAAAGGAATCTTTATGATGTCACTGTCAGATTGGAGTCTTTATGATGTCACTGTCAGAATGGAGTCTTTATGATGTCACAGTCAGATTGGAGTCTGTATGATGTCACAGTCAGATTGGAATCTTTATGATGTCACTGTCAGAATGGAGTCTTTATGATGTCACTATCAGAATGGAGTCTTTATGATGTCACAGTCAGATTGGAGTCTTTATGATGTCACTGTCAGAATATATAATCTTTATGATGTCACTGTCAGATTGGAGTCTTTATTATGTCACTGTCAGAATGGAATCTTTATGATGTCACAGTCAGATTGGAATCTTTATGATGTCACTGTCAGATTGGAGTCTTTATGATGTCACTGTCAGATTGGAATCTTCATGATGTCACAGTCAGAATGGAATCTTTATGATGTCACTGTCAGAATGGAATCTTTATGATGTCACTGTCAGATTGGAATCTTTATGATGCCACTGTCAGATTGGAGTCTTTATGATGTCACTGTCAGAATGGAATCTTTATGATGTCACTGTCAGAAAGGAATCTTTATGATGTCACTGTCAAAAAAGGAATCTTTATGATGTCACTGTCAGAATGGAGTCTTTATGATGTCACTGTCAGAATGGAGTCTTTATGATGTCACTGTCAGAATGGAATCTTTATGATGTCACTGTCAAAAAAGGAATCTTTATGATGTCACTGTCAGAATGGAGTCTTTATGATGTCACTGTCAGAATGGAGTCTTTATGATGTCACTGTCAGAATGGAGTCTTTATGATGTCACTGTCAGAATGGAATCTTTATGATGTCACTGTCAGAATGGAATCTTTATGATGTCACTGTCAGAATGGAGTCTTTATGATGTCACTGTCAGAATGGAATCTTTATGATGTCACTGTCAGAATGGAATCTTTATGATGTCACTGTCAGATTGGAATCTTCATGATGTCACTGTCAAAAAAGGAATCTTTATGATGTCACTGTCAGATTGGAGTCTTTATGATGTCACTGTCAGAATGGAGTCTTTATGATGTCACTGTCAGAATGGAGTCTTTATGATGTCACAGTCAGATTGGAGTCTGTATGATGTCACAGTCAGATTGGAATCTTTATGATGTCACTGTCAGAATGGAGTCTTTATGATGTCACTGTCAGAATGGAGTCTTTATGATGTCACAGTCAGATTGGAGTCTTTATGATGTCACTGTCCGAATATATAATCTTTATGATGTCACTGTCAGATTGGAGTCTTTATTATGTCACTGTCAGAATGGAGTCTTTATGATGTCACTGTCAGATTGGAGTCTTTATTATGTCACTGTCAGAATGGAGTCTTTATGATGCCACTGTCAGAATGGAGTCTTTATGATGCCACTGTCAGATTGGAGTCTTTATGATGTCACTGTCAAAAAAGGAATCTTTATGATGTCACTGTCAGAATGGAGTCTTTATGATGTCACTGTCAGAATGGAGTCTTTATGATGCCACTGTCAGATTGGAGTCTTTATGATGTCACTGTCAAAAAAGGAATCTTTATGATGTCACTGTCAGAATGGAGTCTTTATGATGTCACTGTCAGAATGGAGTCTTTATGATGTCACTGTCAGAATGGAATCTTTATGATGTCACTGTCAGAATGGAATCTTTATGATGTCACTGTCAGAATGGAGTCTTTATGATGTCACTGTCAGAATGGAATCTTTATGATGTCACTGTCAGAATGGAATCTTTATGATGTCACTGTCAGAATGGAATCTTTATGATGTCACTGTCAGAATGGAATCTTTATGATGTCACTGTCAGAATGGAATCTTTATGATGTCACTGTCCGAATAGAATCTTGATGATGTCACTGTCAGATTGAAGTCTTTATGATGTCACTGTGAGAGTGTTACATTAACGTCTCATTATTTTTGTTACATTTGTCTGGTGTTTGTGATGTAACAGTAAGTGTGGTATGCCTCTGTTCTGTAGATGTACTGTCACTGTAATGTTACATGTTGTGTTACAGGGACACTGTGCCCGCTGGTACCAGTCTGAAGAAGGTGTACAGTCTCTGTCCTCTACTGGGCAGTAACCGTGAGAGACATGGACTCGCTCTGGATGGAAAACTGAAGCACGAGGACACTAACCTGGCCTCCTCTAGCATGTGAGTGCGGATCATTGGCCATTTATACGTGGATAATCTGAACGGTTCAGCCCTGATGTTTCTTTATCTCACTGTTCTCCTCAGCGTGAAGGATGAGGTTTTGAAGGAGATTCTGGGCATGTTGGTGGCCTATAGGGTGGTGGTGAAGTGTAACGCAGCGGGGTGAGTGAAGACCAGTTTAGGTTCAGTGTTGGTTCATATCTGTGTGTTGAGGAAAGCCTTTGCTAATGGCTTTATTTCTGCGTATTTTACTTACAGCGTCATTGGATCCAGGTGAGTTTTGATTGGTGTAGAATTTTCTCAACTTTCAGAGTGTGTAAGTGTGTAAGGTGCAATCGTGTGTGTTTCAGTGAGGTTGCGGTGGAGGTTCCCTTCAAACTCATGCATCCCAAACCTGATCCAGGTGAGCTGATCACACTGAAAAAAAATATATAAATATCATATATATATATCATGCAAAAATGTTGTAATAACCTATGCCATGCCATTTTAAATGCAGAAATTGTACCTGTTTCTTACCCATTTAGTTTATGCATGACTGACAAATATACATCACAAGTTTATGTTAAAACAGTATAATTTAAATGCATGGACATTTTTGTGTGCATTTCAAAAGCATAAATATTAAATTAAGGCCTGAATATTTTTGTGTGATTTTACAGCCATTCATTTTCATCACAGTAAATGATTACAAAATATCCATCGGTTCCTGAAAAAAACTCAATTTGTTAATCGCAAATGCACATACGGTGGTACTACAGTACATGGAGCAAATTACACTTGCAGGAACTACATCAGTAATGAATATTAGAACAATTGCTCTCATATATATGTAAACATGAGTTTTGTTTGTACAAACTGAGGAATGAGTACATTATGTGTCAACTATCTTAATAAATAGCATGATGATGCATAAGTGATCATAACCATAAACCAAACTACACACAACTCACGACTGTAATATAAAACTTTCTAGCACACATATGGTCACTGGGGTTTGAAACAGAGCATATATAATTCTGAATTTGATTGGGATTAGAAGACAATTAATATTCAGTAATGTTATCAATGTAACTGCATCAGATCAGAGCGAATGTGGAACTGAATTGAGCTGTATGATGATGACACTAAAAAACAAGTGAATTAAACAGGACATTTTTGAAGTGAAAATAGTATTATCTTATTATTATTTTACTGTGTAGAGCTGCTTTGAACTCATTTCATAATTGAACTGAATTGAAACAACACTGAACATGAACTGGTTTCATAACTGATGAATTTTACATGTTGCATAAAGCCCTGTATGACTTGCGTTGATAATAACTGAGTGTTGTCTGCTTTGTTTTCTCGCTGTTCTCGTCCTCCTAAAGAGAGGTAAGAATGTCACTGTGTTTCCCAATGCAATAGTCCATTATCAGGGTGTATATTCAGCGGGGTTCGTGATACCGCTCATGCTAAATGTGCTGTAATATAAAACCCTTTATACAGAGATCTCGTGTCTCTGATTCCACGTGTTCGTTGCACAATGTGTGGTGTACACTTCCCAACAACACACACACTCTTGAGAGGATAAACGATCCGCGTTGGGCTCTGGGAAGGGAAAGTTATATTGCGGATATCAGTGTCCGATCTCGTCTCTTGTGTAGAGCCCCAGTTTAGCGTCGTTCTTTGAGCAAATCTGTTGTTATACCGTTCAATAGAAACACTTCTATGACATCAAAACAAGGGTGTGTGTGTCGTTGACATAAAACACATTTGTTCCTGTTTTCTGATTTAGTGCTCCAATTCATCTCTACATCAGCCTTTTACGTTGATTGAGTTTCTTGTGTCTCTTTGTGTGATTTTAACGCTTGTGTGTGTGTGTGTGTGTGTGTGTTCAGTGAAGACACAACTGACCTGGTGTTCGAGGAGTTTAAACGCTCTTATCTGAAAGGAATCATCGGCGATGATGACGAATCTCCGGCTGAGCCTTGAGAGCTTTCTCCACGGATGACACGTATATAAGTGTTTTATGCTGGCAGAATCGTGCATATAAAGCATTAGTGGATGCATGTTGAGAATTTGTAGGGTTTTAATGCGAGAACTTATAAGCCAAGAAAAACAAACTGGCCGAATAATCATAAATGACTGCATATATTCACTGCTAATAATTATATACACTCTTAAAATGAAATGGTTCTATATGGAATTATTCATGTATAAAACTTCCCATCATTGGATAATTTTATGAATGTACTTTTAATTAAACAGCTCATAAAAATACTTTATAACTAGAAAAAACATGTTAACCTGGAAGTATTATAGCCTACAATAATTTAAGAAATTTCTTCTTATATGAATGTTTTTGGCATAAAGAATTGAGAACCATTTTTAAGAGTGTATCTTTTAGTTTAATTAATTACACTTTTAGTGTATCTTTTAGTTAAATTAATCACAGTTGCTTAAGATTTGCGTTTTGATGCATACGATGTTTTTGAACCATAAAATCAAGCAGTTCATCTAAAATCAAATAAGTCAGTTTAAAAGCTTCTTCCTAGAATACTAAAATTAGCTTTCCGTAAGGATAAACAGATATACAGTACATCATTTGTTTTATTTGTCACAAATCGATGTATTACATAGCAAATTATTTTGCAGTGAACATTTTAAAGAGGTAAATTCTGTTGTTATTTGCTCTGTAAATGCTTTGAGCTAAAATAAAAACTATTTGTGAAGGTAAACAGCTACATGATCTCTATACCCCAAAAGAGCAAAAGACATTTTTATTGTATCCATCATTACAGAACTGTTACTGAAGCCCTGTAACGTATATCATGTGGGAAAGACTTACATTAACATACAATTGTACTATTGAACTGCTAGACTTTAATGCATTGCCCACATTCTTATGGCAGCAATCGATGAATAAAACTGATCAATCAAATTAAAATGTGCTGTTTTACACAATCGTTGCGTGTCCCAATGCTTATTTGAATGTTGTTTTTAGCTTAGCATCATGCTAAAGTCAGGTCTGAGGACCGCTGACTAGTGTTTCAAATCAGTCACTTAATGATTGATTTATGTAGACAGTTGAAGCAAGGCTGGTCACTACATTTTGTACCTTTTTTTTTCAATGCTATTTCTGATGAATGTGCGAGATTTCCTATTCATTAAATGCTATAGGTAGGCCTAAATAAGTAGAAGAATGGCAAAGTACTGTTTGCGCTACAAACCAGTGTGTTTCAGATTATATAAATTGAACTAACACAATAACAAAATACCAGTTTGGAAAATATAGCAGCATAACTGACTGAAACAATGAAAAGCAGTTATCTAATCATAATTCTAATCATAATGGGTCTTTTGAATGAGTTTTTGTGGTTAACACAAGTTTAAACATTGTCACACCAAACAGGAAAACTCCTCTGCTCACAAGTCTTTTAAACTCAAGGTTTAAACTTTTAAACTATTCCAACTTGTAGATTTTAAATCAAGATTGAATGATTTGTCTGAATCTTAGTGGTCTGAAAATCCTAGTTTTTGTTGAGGAAACCAGGGCGAGGCTTGCAAATATACATCAGGCCAAGTTGTATGTGAATATTGCTAAATTAGATATTTCAATAAAAATATTCTTAAACAGGTCATGGATAGAAGAAAAAAAAAAAAGAAAAAAAACACACAAAAAGTCAGATTATAGAATAGTTTCAAATTTATTGGAGATATAAGGGTAATCAATACACAGAACATGAGCATGAACACCATTGTTGTTTTTTTCATGTTGTGTCATAATGTTGCAAGGTGGTTGCTAAAAAAGTGGTCGCCCCGGACAACATTTTTAGGGATGGGCCCCCTCTCCCCCGCCCCAATGTGTAAAGGCAACACCGTAAGAGGTTCCCGTGTGTCTGAATAATCCAAACTCAAAAGATATAAGCTCTACGTAAACAGTCTCTCTTTCTCTCTAACAGGTGTTTAACATTTTTATTGTGCAAGACAACGCCTCTCTTCTCTCCGATTACCTATCCCAGCTTTCCTGTTCTAATTCCCATTTTTGCTCTTATCCTCAGTGTGTGTCCTTTGAATAGCTGATGATATAACAGCTGATTGGTGCGTTCCTGCTCATTTTACATTCTTTACAAACACCTGTGTCAGGGGAGCAACCTCCCGACTGATCTACACGGAAGGTACTATACAGTTAATCAAGTTACAAGACATGCACTGTAAATAAACACCGATCACATCCACCTGGACTAATTCATTCCATTCATGAGAAAGAGACGGCTCTTCTTTCAGCCAAAGGTTCACTTCTACAAACAAACTACATTGAGTGGTCTTAAAATAGAATCTATGTGTAATGTAGAATATTATAGAAATACTTAGGGTTAGGTGGAAGACTGGATCATTTTAGAGGCTTGTTAGAGGACAACTCTACTCTAACAATAATTTGGTTAAGAGTTCAGGGTGTGGGTCTAGAAGGTAGGGTGCAGGTTTAGGGGTTTAGTTAGAAGTTTGGGGGAAATTTTAGAATGTTGGGTGTAGGTCAATTCCACATAACTTCATTTTTTTCAATTACGCATGAAGTTTAGTTACTCAATTTAAAAGCAACGGGTTTCCTCACTTTTTTAAAGTTAAGTCAACTAATCACTTTTTATAGTGTAGAAGTTTGAGTGAAAGTTAGAATGTTGGGTGTGGGTTTAGAATGTTGGTTGTAGGTTTAGAATGTTGGGTGTAGGTTTAGAATGTTGGGTGTAAGTCTAGGTCTATAAATGTTTGGGTTTAGAATGATGGGTGTACAAAAAAAATGGGCCAAGCCAAAAAATGGCAAAATATTTAGTGGTCTTTTAATGGTCTTATCCATTTTAATTCCAAATCACTGGTCAGGAAATTAGCAATCCTACAAATACTGTAGATAAAGTAACTTAGCACAGAATAACCTTCCCCAACTTGCATACAGCTTTTTGCCGGAAGAAGAGGAGTCAATGTTAATGGCTTCAAACAGTTAATGAAAAATGTCTCTCAGTTGATTTGAGTTTAATGTGACACCAAATATTCACTATAGGGTTGGACTCTGACCAAAGGTTAAAACATGAGCTTGATGGACTTGTTCACAAGCCACTTCTTGGTTGCCTTTGCAATTTGAGCAGGAGCATTGTCTTGTTGATACATAACATCTGATCATTCTTCCTTAGATAACAACTTTTTGTGAATTTGTGGGAAGCAAGCCATTCTGCAATATTCTTCTGTACTCCAAAGCATTAAATTACTTTTCACAGCTAAAATGTCACTCTTTCTGTATGCTTCACTGTGATGGAAATGCATTATATTTCTCAGTATCTCTCCGGAGCATCACCATGCAACTCGTTTCATTGTGATTCATGAGTCCACACACAATTTCCCATATTTTTTTATGACAGCATTGGCTTTTTAAGTAGTGCATTTGCTTAAATTTGGCTTATTTCCTAACCAAATTTGTGGTTAAGACAATTAAAAGCTTAGTGTTTAACCATTTTGGGCTTGGTCAGTTTTAGTTAGAGTGAAAGTTTAGAATGTTGGGTGTAGGTCTAGGGAGTAGATAAATGTTTAGGTTTAGAATTTTGGGTGTAGGTTAAGGAGTGTAGTTAGAAGTTTGGGTTTAGAATGTTGGGTGTAGTTAGAAGTTTGGGTTTAGAATGTTGGGTGTAGTTAGAAGTTTGGGTTTAGAATGTTGGGTGTAGGTTTAGGAGCGTAGTTAGAAGTTTGGGTTTAGAATATTGGGTGTAGGTTTAGAAGCGTAGTTAGAAGTTTGGGTTTAGAATGTTGAGTGTAGTTAGAAGTTTGGGTTTAGAATGTTGGGTGTAGGTTTAGGAGCGTAGTTAGAAGTTTGGATTTAGAATTTTGGGTGTAGGTTTAGGAGTGTAGTTAGAAGTTTGGGTTTAGAATGTTGAGTGTAGTTCGAAGTTTGGATTTAGAATTTTGGGTGTAGGTTTAGGAGTGCAGTTAGAAGTTTGCAGGGAACTTTAGAATTCTGGCTGTAGGTTAATAGGTCTAGTGAAGTAAAAAATTTGGGTGACAATTAAGAATGTTGGGTATAGGTTAATTGATTAGGGTGCAGGTCTAGGGAGTAGATACATTTTTCAGTTTAGATTGTTGGGTGTAGGTTTTACAGTTCGGGTTACAGTTTTGAGGGTGTAGACTAAGAGTTAAGGGAGTAACTCTGCATGAAGGCAGCCCTCCAGCAGCAGGGTTATCTACCCCTGGTCTAAGCTGTAGATAAACATTTGGGTGCTGGTTTAGAATGTAGGGGTTGTTAAAGAGTTTAAGGAGTAGGTTAAGAGCGTAGGGTACAGATGTGGGGCTTTATGGAGTTCCCCATTTGATATCTGTCTCGGGGAACTCTCTCTGGGTGATAAAATCTCTTCCAAACATGTCATCACATCTGTCTGGGTACAACAGAAACCCGGTAAATGTGCTGCTGGACTCAGTGCCGGTGTACATGCCGTTAGTGGTGCTGTCTTTCACCTGCACCCACACCCAGTCACCCTGACTCAGACTCAGCACCACCTGCTGAGAGGCGGTGTTCATTTCCACTGGCGTAGTTGTCCTCACCACGGCCTCAAAGTTGAGGAAGAGTCCGACCTTCAGCATACGGGTGGACACTTGCAGATTGTAGCTAAACACATAGGTTCCGTTGACAGGGGCGGTGTAGACGCCATTGTCAGGGTTGTAGTGCTGGTTTATGTTGTAGATGGAGCGTTTGAAAGGCACTGGGCGGTTCGGTAGAGGATTGGGGGTGACTAAAGCGGCAGAGAAAGCAGATTTCACGGCAGGTGAGCAAGGTCCAGGCACACCCATCATTCCCATATCTCCCTGATTACCTTTAGGTCCTCTGGTTCCATTCGGACCCTGTGGCCCTGTCACACCCAATTCTCCTTTATCACCCTTATCACCCTTTTCACCCTGGGTTCCTGGAGCACCATTGCTACAATTGCACAGGCCCTGTAGGCCTTGGTCACCCTTTTGCCCTGACACACCTGGAACGCCAGGCACGCCTGACACACCTGTATCGCCCTTCAGTCCTTTGGGACCGGGGTCTCCAGCCAGCCCAGGTAACCCACGTGTACCTGCAGGGCCGGGAAGACCCGGTGCACCATCTGCCCCTGGTATGGGTTCACAGGTTGCCGGGCATTGACCATCGTCTCCCTTTGGACCCTGATCTCCCGTGGGACCATCCAGACCACGGTCACCCTTGTCACCTGAAAAGCACGTATGCAAACATGGTCACCAGGGCCGGTGAAAGACATTGTATGAATGTTAATACATTAGTTTCACTGACCTTTCATCCCCCTGTCTCCTTTCAGTCCTGAAAACCCAGTGGGACCAGTGTCACCTTTATCTCCAATATCACCTTTTTCACCTGCGACAATTGACACAATTAATTTAAAATAACACCAGTGTTGGATAATAACAAGCTATCCAGTGGTCTCAATGATCTTCTTCAGCTTATGATGCTTTTGGGAAATGCATCCAGGATTAATCCACCTTCTTTTTAACATAAGAGCGGATGCAGCCATTCTTAATATGATAGACTTCCAGTGTCCTCCAGTAATTTTAGCTGTACAAAAAGTCTGTTTTGCTGTTTGCAAACTGGTGTATTTATAATCTCTAACCCTTCCCAACATTTAAACCTAAACTTTTATCTACCCCTTAGACCTGCACCCTGTTCTATTGGCCTACAGCCAGAATTCCAAACTTTCATGAAAACTTCTATCTACACTTCTAAACCTACACCCAACGTTCTAAACCTAAACTTCTAACTATACTCAACATTCTAAACCCAAACTTCTAACTACACTCCTAAACCTACACCCAACATTCTTTATCTACTCCCAAGACCTACATCCAACATTCTAAACTTTCACTTGAACTACTTTAACACAGTTTAACTACTTTAAATTATGAAGTGAATTAGCTTCCCCAACACTAACTACACTCAACATTCTAAACCCAAACTTCTAACTACACTCAACATTCTAAACCCAAACTTCTAACTACACTCAACATTCTAACCCCAAACTTCAAAACTACACTCAACATTCTAAACCCAAACTTCTAACTACACCCAACATTCTAAACCCAAACTTCTAACTACGCTTCTAAACCTACACCCAATATTCTAAACCCAAACTTCTAATGGTAAATGGACTGCATTTATATAGCGCTTTCACAGACCCAATGGCCACCAAAGCGCTTTACAATTTGCCTCACATTCACCCATTCACTCACTCATTCATACACCGACGGGCGACGGCAGCCATGCAAGGCGCCATCCAGCTCGTCGGGAGCAGCTGGGGTTAGGTGTCTTGCTCATGGACACCTCGACACTTGGTCAGGTGGAACCAAGGATTGAACCACCAACCTTCCGGTTTATAGACAACCCACATGAACCACTGAGCCACTGCCGCCCCCCTGCCGAATATTGGGTGTCTAACTACGCTTCTAAACCTACACCCAATATTCTAAACCCAAACTTCTAACTACACCCAACATTCTAACCCCAAACTTCTAACTACACTCAACATTCTAAACCCAAACTTCTAACTACGCTTCTAAACCTACACCCAATATTCTAAACCCAAACTTCTAACTACGCTTCTAAACCTACACTTAACATTCTAAGCCCAAACTTCTTACTACACTCAACATTCTTAACCCAAACTTCTAACTACACTCCTAAACCTACACCCAACATTCTAAACCTAAACATTTATCTACTCCCTAGACCAGTGGTCACCAACCTTTTCAAGCCTAAGATCACATCCCAAGTCCAAATGTAAACCAAGATCTACCACTTGCAGAAAATTATGAAAAAACAAGGCCACAATGTAGTTCTACTTTGACATTCTTTGTTGCCTGTTAGTCACTAGCAAAATATTTATTTAACTATACAAATAGTATATATAACTATACAAACTGTCAACTATAATTCAACATTTTCAACAGTAATATAACATTGTTAAGTATATATCCACAGGCTTATTACTCATATATAAACACAATAATCAGTCAATTACAGGCCTAAGCCAATAATGTACTGTTTCATTTTCCCTTTTAAAACATAGGCTATTTCAAATCAAAATGGTAAGTGCAACTAGCATACAAAATATTATAACAACAGTCATCCTTCAATTCTTCAAAAATATTTTCACACAAATTACAGACCTACTAGGCCTACTATTCATTACCTCAATAATCAATCAATTACAGGCCTAAAACAGTCATCTACAGCACTGATTCTCTTTCCCGTTTCCAACAACATAAAACACAGATCTCCTTTTAACAATAGCCAATAAAGGGTTTTTCCTGTCTCAAAATGAGGCGGAGTTGGTAAAATCGTAACACTAGGGGGGTCCGGGGGCATGCCCCCCCGTGAGAAAAATTTGTACATTTTAAAGATAAATTCATTAATCTGGTGCACTTTGAGTCACTCGAATCTGTTGTTAAAAATAAAAAATAATCCACCTGCCAACCACCCATATTCTTTGATTTAGATATCTGCATCTGATCATCACATTACAATTATTCAATTAAGCATGATAATATGGTAACATATCACACTGAAGTAGGCTGATTTAAAATTAACATTTATTTAAATTAAAAGTTCTTCTTTTGGCAAAATTACATTTCCTTTATAGCCTAAACAGAGGCTTTAGCCTATCCCTTTAAACTTAAATTGTCAATGTTTCATTTTTGAAAACACTCTTATCGGAATAATTTTTTGTACCTTTATAAAGGGCATTTTCCCCCTAATTTTATTTAATGTACTGGTATGCTCTAAATTTCATTTCAAATTCTTACATTTTATCAATTCATTCAATTAAAATAATAAGACAAGGCTGTTACCAATTAAATTAAATAATTTACATTGAAAAATTATAACTGTATTAAATGAGATTATGAGATTGTTTTGAATATTTTTTGAATATACAAATAAGGAATGCTGAAAAGAATGATACTTTGAAACTAAACCGCCAGTAGAAGTGGCAGGCGGCCGTCTTAATGAGCGAGTCATTGAGTCATTCATTCAAACGATTCGTTCAAACGGCTGATTGATTCAGAATGAGGCGGTTTAATAATGGGTAACGTTAATTGAATCTTTGACTCGAGCGATTAGGTCAAAACGCTGAATCATTCAGTAATGAATAATGGATGAGTGTTGCTGTGAGATGCGCTGATTCTGTTGTTTGGAACTATTTTCGCTGCTGAAACAGAACAAAAACAGTAATTGCGTCTAAAAATGTAAGTAACTTAATTTTAACTAGGCTATTTGTTTATTGAACTGTTATGAAATCAATATCTTGGTTTCAATCGTGCTTGCATTCAGGAAAACAGCACTCTGGTCGTGTGTAGTCTATAACGTTATATTGTTTCTTAACTATAAATTTGACGGAGGCGGCCGCCTCATAATTGTTTATGCAGGAAAACCCCTGCAGATTTCAAACTAGCAATAGCCTACTCCCTCACCGTTGTGCCATCGTTTCGTTAGCTTGCGTATCGTTAGCTTGAAGAGCTTGATGTGAGCGTAGTGTGAAGTGGCTGAGCTGGTTAAAGCGTGAAGCCTTGTTTATACTCGACGCGTCCGCATGAGCCAAAAATGACGTCATTGTAACGGCGCGCGCGCCTCTGGATCCCCTAGACACCATTTACTACACACAGTAGGCTCACACATGGTGCATTTTTAAGTAATAAATAATAATGAATACAAATATTGGTGTTTTTTCTCTGATTTTGAAAACTCTTCGCGATCGACTTAAAATGCTTCCAAGATCGACTTGTCGATCGCGATCGACGGGTTGGTGACTCCTGCCCTAGACCTACAACCAACATTCGAAATTTTCTAAAAATTTTAATTACACACTAGACATAAACTGATGGGCAAAAAATGGACCAACCCCAAAATGGTTAAACACAAGCTTTTAATTATCAAAAATGCACTTTGTTATTATTTTAGTCATTTGCATAAAGCAGCAAATTAATTCTGAAGTCTCGCACATTCACAGGAAACAAACTTTTTGGAATTAACTGCTAGTTTAAGTGTGTAGCTTCACCACAGTTTAACTACGTTAAATTATGAAGTGAATTAGCTTCCCCATCACTGATGCACACACATTCATACTGTACTGAAGTCAAATGCATAGTACGAGTCTCACCCTTTAAGCCAGGACGTCCTGTGAATCCTGGACGGCCGGGAAGCCCATTGAGCCCTCTTGGACCTGGACTACCAGGAGCTCCTGTGAGTAGCAGATGAGGTTAGTAAAACCTTTGACAAAATTAAACCAACAGAGAAAATACAATAGAGTTTAACTCAGTGTTTGTACCATTCAATCCGCGGTCGCCTCTGTCTCCTTTCTGGCCTCTGTTTCCGGAGCAAGCGGAGCAAATGCAGTACCAGGGTACTTGGTCCGCAGTGGGGGGAACCGGAGCATCCAGAATCATCTGACAATAAGATAAATCAGGCTCCGGTGCTCCCGGTGAGAATGGTGACACCATTGAAGCGTTGTCAGTAGGCTGTAATCCTAACGGCGTAGCACGAAAGTCAGGAATAAAAGCACACTGTCCGAAAGACAGACATACCAACACCCCAACAATACTCCTTGTGTCCTGTAGACAAAAATATAGAGTTAAATCTAGTTTTAAAAGTCTTAAAAAGAGTCAAGAATGTTTCATTTCAGTGGTTGGAACACTCTTAAAGATAAAGGTTCTTTACTGGCATTGATGGTTCCATGAAGAACCTTTCCATTCCAAAAAAGGTTCTTTTGGAACCTTTATACACTGTAAAAAGTGATCAGTTGACTCAACTTAAAAGAATTGAGTAAATCCGTTGCCTTAAAATGATTAAGTAAATAAACGTCATGCTTAATCAAAAAAATTAAGTAATGTGAAATTGTCAAGTTCACATAACTTAATTTTTTTCAATTAAGCATTAAGTTTATTTACCTAATAATTTTAAGGCAACGGGTTTAGGCTACTCTACAAATTTTAACTACACAATAGACCTACACTCATGGGCAAAAAATGGACCAACCCCAAAATGGTTAAACACTAAGCTTTTAATTATCAAAAATGCACTTTATAAGTGAACTGAACACTTTTAGTGAAGTGTGTTCTGTTTGGTTCAGCAAACCAGCAAAGCAAAGTCAAAGGAATAATATAGAAAAAGACACTATCTAGCATTGTGAGTAACTATTTCACTCTCATCTAAAAACAGCACCAGACGGATGGATGGACAGACAGACAGAAAGCGAGACAGATTGATCACCCACCATGTTCCAGTGATTCAGCATCATGCTCTTCCTCGGTGTTTGAAAAAATCTCTGATGTCCAATCGACTTATTTATCTTATATACCCCCACCTGTGCGAGTGTGTTTGTGTGTTCGGCCACTGGGAGTTGGATTTTTTTCTCTTTCTCCATTCTCTGCGACCTCATTAGGCCCAGAATATTATGAGTAATAATAATACACTAGAGAGAAAATAGGAGAAAGCCATTGTGTGCGTGACACAGCAGTGTGATAGCAGGCGCGGCTCCGTCAGGACTGTAACGGGAGAGAGTCGATGCCTCTCTGGAGATGCTTAATATTACAGGGAAGCATGGGAACACAGCAGTCCTCTGACACGATCCAGGTCAGAACACACACACACACACACACAGAGAGAGACAGACACAGACAGAGAGGATACTCGTTCTGTAAGAAAACGCCACAATCTTGAATATCTTTTCACAGATCTGTTTATGTATCCCATAATGCAGCAGTGCATTTGTTATTTTAAACTTTTATTTTGACAGCTGTAGCGTCACATTGTAATGAAAACAAAATGATAGCGGCGCCATTCATTTCATAAAGTTTTGACAGTCATTTTTCCTAGATTAATGAAACAAGATTAAGTCAGTGTAGATTGTGTTCCTGAAGGTGGAACACCGCGGATCTGTGCCGCTTTCAAAACATTTACTTTGAGCATCTCAACCAAAATACAAACAGAAAAAAACAGTAATGAGTAACTTGTATTTTTGCAATAATAATAATAATAATTGTGTATTTATGTATTTTATTTATTTACTTTTTTATTTTTTATTATTTTATTTAAAGTATATATTTGTTGTAATCTCATTTATTTTTGTTTTATTTTATTATTTTGTTTTTAGATATATTGTGCCTTTCCCCAAGGTAAACCCCAAGGCCACTTTACAATGGAATAGAAACACCAATAACTAAATGCTTATTTTCCTCTTTTTTTTGTGTGTGAAAAATTGTTATTTGACTATTTTGTTATAGCCGTTTATGTTTTACAGATGTTAGTTATTTACAGGATAGTTTTTTAAAAGATCAAAAAATAGCTAGGTCACATATAATGTGAACATTATGCAATGTTAAGTCAAGTTGCTGTTTTTTTGTAACTGTGTACTTCAGCATTTGTGAATTTAAAAGCGTGCATTTCAAGCGTTGATTTCCACCGCAGATGCTTTAATGCAAAAGTGATTTTAGTTCGTTTTTACCAAATGATGGACGAATCTATTTTCAGAGGCTCTATAACCTGTGAGGATTGCATGAGGAGAATAAGTATAAGTTTGAGCACAAGTGAAATGCACAACAGAATAGAAAGAGCTGCTTAGTTTATGGGGTAACACTTTATTTTACAGTGTCCTTGTTACATATGTTACATGTTTATCATAGTAAATGATGCATAATTACATGCAACTACCCCTCAACCAAACCCTAATCCTATACCCTAACCCTGTAGTAAGTACATGTAGTTAATTAATATTACTCAGCACTTAAATATATAATTACACTGTAACAATGACACCTTAAAATGAAGTGTAACCGTTCATGGTTGTGGATCGGAAGAGGTGTGTTTTCAGCTGTTTCTTGAAAAGAAAAAAAAATAGAAATCAATGTGAATTCCCCAATTAGTTAATTAGGCAAACATGCATTAAACATGCTTTGTGCTTCATTTTAATCAGATTCTCCACTAAACTGAGCTTCTGTAGAGCTGCTTTTAAAGTTGAATTGACGCTGTTATTGAACTGAACTGAATCAACATAAAACTGAATAGAGCAGGGTTATGATATCGTTAACTAAAACGTTAACTAAAAATCACAAACATTCCTGTTAATTGCACATCATATGCACAGGATCGCTTTCCATCTCTGTTTTCTCCCCTATAGCATGTAAAAAGAGTGATTTCCTGGAAAAGGTGTGTGTGTGTCTGTGTGTTTGTTCAGAAAGAACGTGTTATTGAAGTATTTGAGGGAATGCATCCTAATGTGTGTTTCTGAGGAAGTATGCATTGGCTAGATGTGAAACACAGATGTGAAACTGGACACAGGAACACAAAGCTTGTTCACGGCACCGCCCAGCTCCTGACCCTGTTTACTGTCCTGCGCTTCTGTACACGGTGTGTGTGCTGCGTTACCACCAGCATCAGCACTCAGCCCTGCTGGATTCATTACATCAGGGGGGTTATTTACAGGAAACACACCAGACTCTTCTATAACTGCATTTCAGGCTTTATTGCTCTTTAAGAAAATAAGAAAAGAAAAGAGGAGGCACGCTTTTATTGTTCACTTCCTGAAAGGATTATGTTGTAATTTTGAATTTATTCTTTATGGGAATAGTTCTTTAAATTATGAAATTCATTGCACTACATAAGTATCATGACAGATGCCTTTTGCACTTACATTTAATCAGCAGACGCTTTTATCCAAAGCGACTTACAAACGAGGATAACAATATAGCAATCAAACCAACAAGAGGGACACAGTAGTCAGTTAGTCACAGTACACATATAGCAAGGTTTTATTTTATTTGACTTTTTTTGTTATCAGAATAGAATAGAAAAGGTAGCCTATTAATTGGTCAGATGTGTCTTTAGACTTTTTTTGAAAATGTATTTTTTAGGTGGTGTATATATAGACACTTATATAGACTTATATAGTTTCATAGAGACACAAAGTTGTTTTTTTTTCTTCATTTTCAACTAGGTCTTATTGTTTTAACATTTCACTTCTTTTTGATTGAAAGTGTGCATATGCTATATTTTTATTTATTTTAATGGATACATTGCACTTGGTTTGATACATTTTCGTAAACGAATGCAATGACATTTTTAACTGTGTCCAAATATTTTGGGGGCCACTGTATTTTCCCCAGCTGTCGCGGCTCCTCTGGCCGGTAGGCGGCGCTCTCTCCTTCTCTCTTCAATAAAAGCCCGTATTAATATAGAGTTTAGCTATTACAAGTTGGTTAATGACTTGGATGTTTTCAGATATAAATGGGGCATAAACAGATGTATTTGCGATGTTGACTCTGATGGCTGTCTTCAAATGTATGCATGAGTGAAGTTTTTTTTATTGTAAAGGAAAGGACCTAAAAGTGTTTGCTTTTCTAATATGCTATTTCACGTCTTGAGACTCTGTTTTTTAAATCCTTTGCGCTCCTTCTAGCTGCTTTTTTTATAGCTTTTTACTAAAAATGTTATATATTTAATGTTTTTGTAAATAGTGATCTTAAAGTCAAAGTCTCTCTCTCTATCTCTCTCTCCATCTCACTCTCTCTCCCGGGGATGCAGTGTTCGCTATGTCCGGTTGGCGTCGCTGCGCGGCCGGTCCCGCTGGAACACGTCTCTGTGAGCGTGTATGTGTGTGTGTGTGTGTGTGTGTGTGTGTGAGTCCCGGGGGCTGGAGCTCAGGATGGCGGCGGTCGATGCTGCTGCTGCTGCTGCTGCTGAGGCCGAGTCGTCGGACAGTGAACCGGAGCAGGAGCACGGTTCCCCGCAGAAACTCATTCGGAAAGTCTCCACGTCCGGTCAGATCCGGAGCAAGGTAATAAAACACGTGTATATGTTTTTAGCGTTGGTTTGCAAAGAGAAAAGCTCTTTAGACCGAGCGGCCCGTCCGAGATCCGCGACATTTCCTGCGTGTCCAAACCCTCCGGTACCGACCGACACGGACACCGGTGAGAAGAGCGCGTGTGGATATAACGGTACCGCGCGACACTGTGATATGGACGGACTGTGCGCGCGCGCGTCCCTGCGTTCGAAATCCGAATGTTTGCTTTGCAACATTGTATCCGTTTGTTTGGAATCTTCGAGTTTGAAAATGAAACAGTGTAACGTTTTTAGTTCAATGGACGCGCAGCGGTTACTTTGAAACACAAATTACCCTTTTCTCCTACTACAGTACTACAGTGTTTAACTACAGTAAACTGTGGTAAAATATAGATAACTAACACAAAGAAAAAAATCATAAATAGAGGAAACAATTCTAAAAGCCCCTTACGGTAGTTTAAGGAGATTACATTGATTTATTATGATTTAACAGCAGCAAAATATCTGCAAATGTATAGTTGTTTTGGTGGAAACTTTGGCTACCATGAGCCGTCATATCTGTCTGTCAAGCTCGAATCTTACAAAAATCACAGTGTGTGTCAAAGTCATAGTTACAACATGTATTATTACTACAGTAAAATGTGGTACGTTGGTATCAACCACCACTATATATACAGCTGTGGAAAAAATTAAGAGACCACTGCGAAATTATGGTTTTACTAGTATGTGTTTGGGTAAAATTAACATTTTTGTTTTATTCTATAAACTACTGAGAACATTTCTCCCAAATTCCAAATAAAAAACATTGTCATTTAAAGCATTTATTTGCAGAAAACGACAACTGGTCAAAATAACACAAAAGATGCAGTGTTGTCAGACCTCGAATAATGAAAAGAAAATAAGTTCATATTCATTTTTAAACAACACAATACTAATGTTTTAACATAGGAAGAGTTCAGAAATCAATATTTGGTGGAATAACCCCAGCTTTTCATGCTCTCCACCCGTCTTTCACAGTGTTGTCGGGTGACTTTATGTGCAGAAACTCAAGCGGCTCGGCTTTGTTTGTTAGCTTGAGACCATCCGTCTTCCTCTTGATCACATTCCAGAGGTTTTCAGTGGCGTTCAGGTCTGGAGATTGGGCTGGCCATGACATCTGCCTGATTGCAGCCTTGCTGAAGCTCCCCCAGATCATCAATTTTCAGCTTTGTCCAACACCTGGTCGTCGAATGGTTAGACGGAGAGAGCCACAGTGTCTCGCACCCTCTGTGAGATTTGGTGGAGGATCGGTGATGATTTGGGGAGCTTCAGCAAGGCTGGAAGATTTGGTTTTTCCAGCAGGACAATGCTTCATCCCACACAGCCAGATCAAGACCCTGTCATGGCCAGCCCAATCTCCAGACCTGAACGCCACTGAAAACCTCTGGAATGTGATCAAGAGGAAGACGGATGGTCTCAAGCCATCAAACAAAGCCGAGACAACACCGACAACACTGTGAAAGACGGGTGGAGAGCATGAAAGGCTGGGGTTATTCCACCAAATATTGATTTCTGAACTCTTCCTACGTTAAAACATTAGTATTGTGTTGTTTAAAAATGAATATGAACTTATTTTCTTTCCATTATTCGAGGTCTGACAACACTGCATCTTTTGTGTTATTTTGACCAGTTGTCGTTTTCTGCAAATAAATGCTCTAAATTACAATATTTTTTATTTGGAATTTGGGAGAAATGTTCTCAGTAGTTTATAGAATAAAACAAAAATGTTAATGTTACCCAAACACATACCTATAAATAGTAAAACCAGAGAAACTGAGAGAAACTTTTTCCACAGCTGTATATATATATAGTGTCATTTTTGCAATTTAGTAAAAATAACTGCAGAAAGTGTGTGGTTTACATTTGAACAGATGTGGAAGCAGAGAGCTTGAAGATCTGAGCTGTAAACCAAAGGTTGTATTATGATTCATCATCATTCACGCATAAAAAAAAAAGTGCCATTCAGAATCATATTAATAGTGTTGACATTCAAGTTTGTTCCAGCTAAATGAGAGATAAAGTGATAAAGAATATAAGCCCTGTACTTGTTCACTTCCTGAGAGACTAATTGTGACAGAATTCTCTGATTTATGTAATAGTGCATTTTATTAATGCATAACCAGTTTGTCCTATTTGAAAGACTCGAAAATAACAATTTTAAATAAGTCCTCAAAATCATGTTCGGTTACACTTTATTTGGTAACACTTTATTTTACAGTGTTACATCTAGTTACTATAATAACTATTAATTATGCATAATTACATGCAACCAACCCTCAACCAAACCAAACCCTAACCCTAATATTACTCAGTACTTACACTCTAAAAATGCTGGGTTGTTTTAACCCAACTTTGGGTCAAAAATGGACAAACCCAAACATTGGGTTAAAAATGTAGTTAAAAAATGTAACCCAACGGCTGGGTTTGTCCATATTTGACCCAAAGTTGGGTTAAAACAACCGAGCATTTTTTTAGAGTGTACTTAAATGTAGCCTATAATTACAGTGTAACATAGACACCTTAAAATAAAGTGTACAGTAACACTTTAGTTACATTGTAAATAAGAACGGACTGAGTAAGCCTACATGTACTTAGTATAGAGTTACGGTTAGGGTTTGGTTTAGGGTTAGTTGCATGTAATTATGCATAATTAATAGTTATTACTATATTAACTACATGTAGTGAAACTACTACGTCACCTTAAAACAAAGTGTTACTTCATGTTTTTGCTAGTTATAAATATCAGCTGTTACGTCTAAGTTTATGGTTATGATTGCGATATTATTAGCTGAGTATGAAAGCCATTGCATAACTGCGGGATGTTCAGTAATAGTGTGTGTGTGTGTGTGTGTGTGTGTGTGTGTGTGTGGTGAGGTGACTGAGATCACACACTAGATATGAGAGATGATGATGCTCTGTTGCTTAGGACGGACCGGAGATGATTTGTGTTTGCATCATTAATATGCTATCTTCAGTTTTATTGTTTTAATATCTTGTTGCACCTAGAAAACGAAGCATAATTATTTACTAATGTTGAAGGGCAATTAACAGCCCGAGTCTGTTTTTTTTCTTCTCTTTTTCTGTTTAACGTCTCATTTTTACAGCATGCACCATTTTGCAACCTACACTCACCGGCCACTTTATTAGGTACACCTGTCCAACTGCTCGTTAACACTTAATTTCTAAGCAGCCAATCACATGGCGGCAACTCAGTGCATTTAGGCATGTAGACATGGTCAAGACAATCTCCTGCAGTTCAAACCAAGCATCAGTATGGGGAAGAAAGTTGATTTGAGTGACTTTGAACGTGGCATGATTGTTGGTGCCAGAAGGGCTGGTCTGAGTATTTCAGAAACTGCTAATCTACTGGGATTTTCACGCACAACCATCTCTAGGGTTTACAGAGAATGGTCCGAAAAAGAAAAAACATCCAGTGAGCGGCAGTTCTGTGGGCGGAAATGCCTTGTTGATGCCAGAGGTCAGAGGAGAATGGCCAGACTGGTTCGAGCTGATAGAAGGGCAACAGTGACTGAAATAACCACTCGTTACAACCGAGGTATGCAGCAAAGCATTTGTGAAGCCACAACACGCACAACCTTGAGGCGGATGGGCTACAACAGCAGAAGACTCCACCGGGTACCACTCATCTCCACTACAAATAGGAAAAAGAGGCTACAATTTGCAAGAGCTCACCAAAATTGAACAGTTGAAGACTGGAAAAATGTTGCCTGGTCTGATGAGTCTCGATTTCTGTTGAGACATTCAGATGTTAGAGTCAGAATTTGGCGTAAACAGAATGAGAACATGGAACCATCATGCCTTGTTACCACTGTGCAGGCTGGTGGTGGTGGTGTAATGGTGTGGGGGATGTTTTCCTGGCACACTTTAGGCCCCTTAGTGCCAATTGGGCATCGTTTAAATGCCACGGCCTACCTGAGCATTGTTTCTGACCATGTCCATCCCTTTATGGCCACCATGTACCCATCCTCTGATGGCTACTTCCACCATGTCACAAAGCTCTAATCATTTCAAATTGGTTTCTTGAACATGACAATGAGTTCACTGTACTAAAATGGCCTCCACAGTCACCAGATCTCAACCCAATAGAGCATCTTTGGGATGTGGTGGAACGGGAGATTCGCATCATGGATGTGCAGCCGACAAATCTGCGGCAACTGTGTGATGCCATCATGTCAATATGGACCAAACTCCCTGAGGAATGCTTCCAGCACCTTGTTGAATCTATGCCACAAAGAATTGAGGCAGTTCTGAAGGCAAAAGGGGGTCCAACCCGTTACTAGCATGGGGTACCTAATAAAGTGGCCGGTGAGTGTATATGCTAGGCCAGTAAAAATAAATGTTGTGCATACTTTCAATTAAAGCCATAAATCTGCAGAAATCTTCCTCATTCTGGAACAAAACGCTGAAATGTAGCAAGCTGCTTTTTACAGTAAAAGTGTATGAATTAGACACAGACATGAGGGTTAATACTGAGAATTATTTTTTCATTTTTTAGATGCACTGTTCCTTGCAGCTTATGTGCAAGTATGCTTGTCTATATAGGACCCTATGAGTTTGGTGATGCGGACGGAATCACGGAATTCAGTTATAAAAATGGAATTTACAGTATGACGCAGAATTCCATGGAATTTGACAAAGTTTGCATGAATAAATCAACAGTACACTGTACACTGAATCAAACTGCGATATGAACTCGTGTCTGTGAATATTGAAGCACATTTACATCTGAAGTCTAAAGAAATGGTTTCATTTTCATTTGATCACTTTTAAAAGATTTATTAAATTTTATGCCTTCATTTGATTACCACTGTTTTTGATAATAAAAATTGGTATTAAATCATATATCCAGAAAAAAAATAAAAGATAGGATTTCGTTTAAAAAAAATGCTTTTTGACTATTTATATTGAACTAAACCATTAAAATGGAATCCAGAA